TTACAGAATCTGACTAAATTACAAAACCTATTTAAATAATGTATCGCCTGTCCCTTCTGATATGTTTAATAAAGGTTTATACTCATTGTAAAAAAATAAAACACAGAACTTTTGATTCCCATATGACGAAAATTGACACATGCATTTAATTAAGAATGTTCAGGAAACAGACACAAATTATAAAGAACGATATGTTTGCAATAGTACATAACTAAATATTAAATATCAGTTTAGAAAAAAAGTTTCGGATATTAATATATTTACTGACCAGCACTGCTTTATACAATTTTTTTTTCCTTTGAGAACAAACATACAGACTTCCCGTGCACCACATATGTACAACACGGGGCTTACAGAAGTAAGTTAACTAGAACATTAAAGGTTACATGTATAAATAAACATTATTACATGCATAAATAAAGCGAACAAAAGCAGAGAACAGCAGTCTGGACTTCACGAAAACAGATAAGTTCACTGGCCAAGTCACTCCGAACATTTTCAAATCGTTCTGTAAGCATAATCTAGGGCCATCAAATGCAGGGCACGAGAAAATCAAATGTTCCACATCCTGAGGAACTCTTTTTGAAAATTCACATAAATTGTTTGATCGTAGATTAAAACGAAACAGATAACTTGCAAATTTACCGTGACCAGATAAAAAGAGACACTTTAAAATTTAACGAGAGGAAAGACTCGGAATTCAGTCTATGGGAAATAGAAGGAAGGAACTTTTTGGTGACTTAAGCATTACAAGATGAAATGTATTCCTTATTCCACATAGCTAAAAGCTTTTGATAATGAAAGGACTTCCAATAACTCTTTGGAATGCTAATGTTGATATCAATGGGTAAATTTAAGGCATCTTTAGCTAAGAAATCAGCTCTTTCATTTCCGTAGAAACCATGATGAGCACGCACATAAGCAAAGCAGATATCAATACCTCTAATTCTAAGTGAACTAACAGTTACTAGGGTTTCGATAACTAATTTATCGCAGCTGGTAGACTGTCAGGCAAGTTCACTATTTGCACAAACTAACAATGAAAATCATTTCTAGTTTTGAATTTTATTGAAGATTTTAGGTTATAATTATAAAATAATAAAACATCATGATACTAATAATATATTTTGAGTGTTTTTTAATCTTATGAGTTACTTATGTGAAAACTCTCTCATACTAAATGTTAACTAAATTATAACTTCGAGATTGCTATACACTAATTAAACACAAAATAATATCGTTGAAGAACTCAAACATAAAAAAATATCAAGAATATCACTAAAGAGGAAAAGGTAAAAACGAGAATCCAAAGCAAGCCAAGTTCTGAAATAAAATTCTCCTTCAATTTTTATCGTACATGAGTCAAACGTTTTGCGGTTCATTTTTTATAACGAATATAAACTTTTACTAAATATTACTAGCAAGAACGTTTGAAATGTTTTGTATTTTAACATAACGCATTTTTAAAACTTAAATGAGACATAAAATTAATATTTAAGTCTTTTAAAGCATTTCTGCCCTCCAGCGGTAAAGTCGCGGAACACTGGTAGTTCGATCCGGGTTTTGAATCCCGGCGAATGGACCGGCTGCATGGACGTTTTCGGGTTTTTCCTCATCCGTAATTTGTATACGAGCCACTTCCTCTTAGAAAGTCACCTACGAAGGCATCCTTTCCCTTAGACAGATAGCCCTCGAGTGCCTTGCCATAATCAAATAAGCCGGAGGTTAAAACATTTCTTTAACTTGAAGTACACGTTTACAAAACATAGTTGTGAAAATACAGGCCCCACAAGGACTTTTTTCGATACGAAATACATATAGAGTACAAAGTTTGTAAAATATATTGAGAAACATTTTCTTAGGCGCACTGCAAGTTGTTTCTTTTAAAATGGTTATGAAAATAAATTTGATCATATTAAGGGGAATTGTACGGTAAGGAGGGGGAACACAAAAAGTCAGAGATGAATTAATGATAATATAAAATCTTGTACAAAAATCTGCAGTGTTAAATTAATAATAAATTTTAAACCAATAAAGTAATTATATTTCTTATCTTTAAAAGAAATAAGATAATATATAAAAAGCCTTGTGAAAAATAGATATAAAAAGGCAACAGTTGTATTAAAAGTAATATCAAAAAGCGTTAACCCACTAACTTTTCATAATTCAAATATTTTCATACTGTCTATACAGAATTTTTTTGATATATTTTCAGGCAGTTTAATTTACTAATAGTTACATGAAGAAGTTCATGTGTAAATAAATATATATTGTATAACCTTTTTACTTCCTTGTACGAAGTAAAAAGGAAGTATTGTAATCGCGAAAAGTTTCCGGCAGCATATTTCAACGAAAATATCAATTTTGACCGCTATCCAATGCAATTTAACGATGTTTTTGCGTGATATCTGTACGTAAGGACAGAATAAAATACTCTTTTCCTTCAAAAAAATTATAAAACTGCTTTAAAATTAATTCTGAAGAGAATTTTTAGTGGCGTCTGTACGAACGTATGTACGTACGTATCTCGCATAACTCAAAAACGAGTAGCCTCAGAACGTTGAAATTTTGTATATAGGACTGCTATAAATGTAGATGTAGATGTGCATCGTATTATCGTATTTTGGTTGCAATCGGCCGCACCAAACGTAATACGTATTTATATACGTTTGGTGCGGCCGATAAATATATTTATATACATATATCCACTTCGTTACCCGGCTCAGTGATCTCAGTTTCTTTACTCTTATATGTTGGTAAATTGCACATTTTTTGCTTTAAAAATGATTGAATTATACTTTAAATTTATTGTTTTTATCTTCCGGTTAAGGATTTTATGCCTTTAGTAAATCTGTGTGCAATATTTTTAGAATTATCAGCAATTTTAAAGTTGTTTAATTGCCACTAAGCCTTTTTTAATGGCGGCCATTGATGTTTACATTTGAAACAGGAGACTAGTGGATTTGTTGCCAATCTAGAGAAACTTAGCTTCGCAACAACAAAGATAACGCCTTCATTTATTATTGCGAATTAAATCATGCTTAATCCTTTCTGGAATTTTTTCGAGGAAATAAGCGTTTAAGATTTACTTCGTAATTTTTAATATAGATATTTTGAGTTTTTATGTATTTTTGCCTTCTCGCGAAGTGAGAACTGAATTAATTAAATGAGAAATACTCAATCGTCTGTGAAAAACTGTTTCTTTTTCGTTTTGTTTGCTTAATTTCTTTTATACAGCATTCTAGCTTTATTATAGTATTTGAACAGAACATGTGGCAACGATTAGATAATTCTATTCTTTAAATGATATAAATTTTGTGCATTATGAGTTATAATATGAACGAAATATATAAGTTAATTATTATATAATTATTGGATTATATAACAGTTAACTTAGTTTCCGTTATAAAATTATTATATAAGTTAACTGTTATATAATTATTAATACTGTAAAGTGAATCTAGCGCCAGAGTGTCGCTATGGTAAACAAATACTAGAGTGAATTTTAAAGAATGCATTTATTCTATTGTGGTTTATGCGCTGGCTTCGAAGTAGATTTAATTCAATCCAATAAGTTTAAATGAAATGCAAGAAAAAATGCGTATAATTTAATATTCCAATACAAGGAAGTCATGTGATGTACACATCAGATTTTTTCTTATATTGTTTCGTATATTTCGTATAATTGTTGCATAATAAAACAATTAAGCACACACATATATGCCCTAAATGCATATAGTATGTATATAAGAATAAATTAAACTTAATTAAAAAAATTAAATTTAAATACAAATTTAATTAAATATTCTTTATATATATATATATATATTTAATTTTAATTTGCTAAATTAGTGAATTTGTTTTCATGGATTGGTTTTGCACATGATTTGCTTATGCTTCTGAATTTAAATGATATTGTAGATTAGTTCGAGAATTAAATCTTTGATATGTTTGCACATTTTTTAAAAAAATTTTTTAAAAATTATTTTGGCTTTTTATTTTTATTTATTTTTTTTTACGCTTTAAATTTGCTTTTTTACTTTTATACGTGTTTGTTAAAATTTAAATTTAAATTTGTTTAAATTTAGTATGTATATAATATAGAGTATGCATACTTGTTTTAAATTTTTAATTATATTTTTGTATATTGGTATATTTCACTGTGTTATGACATTAACCGATCGTAATACTGTGAAAATGTTACTCACAATATTTAGATACAAATCAGGAAAAAATTAAGTTTAAAATTAATTCGAAACATTATGGAAGTTTGAAATTCATTTTAAATACTATAAAATGTAACATATAAACCTGACAAAAAGATTACAAAATTAAGATAAACATAAATATCTCTTTCATCAAATTTTGCAGTTATAGGTAACGGTTGTGTGTTAATGTGAATTCATTACGGTAACAAAAATTTTCTGCTTGATGCAATGACTGTTTAGACTAATCTTTAACATGCTGTGTGTAAGTAAATAGATAAAAATACATAAACGTAAATGTTTTCACGAAATCCAAAAAATGTCTAGTCTTTCCTTCAAAATCTTTCATGCTAAAAACAGCTTAATAATCGTCATTTCAAAAAATATATTTTGGATAATATGTCTATAATCATATTCTTCAAGTTGAAGGCTAATTAATGAATAAAACTAACCCATTATTCATAACTTAACTATCTGTAAATTAATGGTGGTTTTCGAATAACAGGAATTTGCTGAAAACGTTTGTCTTTGAGGTGTTAGTTTGGATAAATTAAAGTCTAATAAGTTCTTTACAATATCATTTCAAACATGTAATTCATAATGGAATACATTTTTGATAATTATGAATATCGTGTCGTATTTTGACACAGTTCTGAATACACAATCAATTTATTGAAAATTTTATAAAGAACTATATGTTAAAATACTTAAATTATATAAACAACAAATTATATATTATTATATATTATTAAATAACATAAAAAACGTTTTCACTTAAACAAAATACAAATTTACCTGATGTTCTTCAGATGTTTAAAGTTATGAGATCAAAACTTCCCTTATTATTAACTTCTGTTCTTAGTAAGCAATTACGATATTTCTATCTGCATAAGGAAAAAAGTAGCATTCTTATATTCACCCGAGAAGAATAATAGCAGCTTTTTTTTTTTTTTTTTTGGTAGTAAGGTTATTGTTTTTTCCCTCACTTTAGTGGTCGCTTAAATACTAATTGTTTTCCTTCTCTTGACGTAAAGTTGTATTTCCGACGATCAGAATTTCGCACGTTGTACTCAAAAAGAAATTTTTATCTTGACCTTGAAAATGGTTTTGCGATATTTGTTTTATTCGTTATGTTTAAAAAAATGGCAGATGTCTGAAAATGACCAACAGGAAATCTTTTTCTTTTTATTTATTGATACTTTTGCTTAGGATTAGCAATTGTTATAATTTTTTATTAAAAAATAAGTAACAATTAATAATATTTGATTATCTTTTAAAACGACGCTAAATATTTTACTAAACTAAAACTAATGTAACAAAACATATTTTGAAAGTTAGAATTTTCTTCAAAATATCATTTCATATTTTTTAGCCTTTCAATTTATGAAATTAAATAAATTGTAAATGCAAAATAACTAAATAAATACTTTTAAAATTATTACGTAAGAAGCAAATTATTTTTATTAATTAAATTACTAAAATTACTATTATCAACAACGTAATACTTAATAAATTAATACAGCTTAACGTAACTTCATAAAGTAACTTTACTTTTTGTCAAAAAATTTACTTTCCATAAATTACTTTTATGTCAGTAAATTTGTCAGTAATTATTTTTTAATCTGTAAATTTACTTCTCATCAGTATTTTTATTTCTTATTACCAGTATAAATTCCTTTTTAATTTTTTTTACTATAAGTAGATTGGATTGAACTTTTCTAAAATGTTCTTTAGAGATAATTCATTTTAAATTTAGTTTATTATGTTTCATAACTATAGTATTTATCCTAATAATCTATCTCACTTTTTTCATATTTCCTAAATATCTATCTTTCCCTTTTCAATTCGTTTCCTCCATTTCTTGGCCGGTGACTAAAACTTTAATAATATGAAAAGTAAAAAAGAAAATCAAAGAAAAATTTTAGCTAAATTTAAATTGCACTAATAATAATGCACTGCCATTCTCAGTTTCACACTCGTGGGGTATTTTTAATTCCCAGGTGCCAGCCCCTTCCTGCAACTTCACTGTGAAGATATTGACCAACGGCAGCATTTAAAACAAAAACAAAAAATATTAAGTTTCTCTATGTTTGTCAAACCCTATTCTATACTGAGACTATACGCCAGTGTATCGATACCATACTCCAAAGTACGGGGTGTTTATAAAGTCCAGGCCCATTTTGATATTTAATAACTCATAAAATAACAAAGATGGATTAAAATTAATAACATAAATGGTTAGACCTTGTCAATGAATATCCACGTGTGCCCCCTTCGTCGCACGGAGAATATCAAGTCGATATTCATTTTCACTCCAGGTACCGGTAAGCATGTCGGCATCCGTAGAGGCTATTGCCGTTGTAATTCTGGCTTTTAGGTAATCAATGTTCGACACTCTCCTCCTGTAAACGTTGTCCTTTACAAATCTCCAAAGGAAAAAGTCCATCGGCGTTATATCAGGTGATCTGGGTGGCCAAGGAATTGGACCTCCTCGCCCAATCCATCTTCCTGTAAAATGGTCTACGAACGATGGTACCCCAATGAGGTGGTACACCATCTTATTTCAAAAAGACATGTGGCTGAAGCTCTTCTAGTTGTGGAAATACGACGTTTTCCAACATGTCTAAGTATACGACTGATGAGACAGTCTTTTCTGTAAAAAGGAAAGGCCCAATGACTGGGTCGTGCATTAGTCCACACCAAACATTAATCTTTGGGGAATCCCTTTGTGCCTCCCGGTATTCATGGGGGTTTTCAGATTCCCATATACACACAATATGGCAATTAACAATGTCAAAATGATACCAAAAACAAAAGAGAGAAAAATGCAATTAATAAGCAGACGATATTTAGAAAAGTACAGATATTTAGACTGGAAAATGAAATTATCTGAAATTAACCACACGCGCAGACGATATTTACAAAAGTAAAGATATTTGGTAAGAATAAGTTCACAAAAAAAAGTAAGCGGACTATAATATCACTTGTTTATTTTACATAACACTTTCAAAAATAGAAGGAATGTCGTCTACGACGACACAGCGCACTTCACTTTTAGCACTGTAGCAATTAAAAAAAAAAAAAAGAATAGAATACAAATCACATAAGTTATGAGTTGAAAATTCGTTACCATAGCAACCAGAATTGAATCATCAGGCAGCAACGCCATCTAATGTTGCAAAGACACACTAGTAATTCGTTTGGTAACAAAAAATACTAAACATAGCCCCCGGCCTTGAAGCCTTCTAAGGGTTCAAAAAAGACAAATAGTTAAACCTTACATAATAACATTAACAAAAAAATTAATTGAAAATATAACTAAAATTAAAGTTCAATAATATGAAAAAAGTCAATAGTGCATATTAGTCATGATTGGGGATAAGACACAATTTAATAACAGCTCGTTTGAAATCACCAGCGGCTGTATGGATTGTAGCCACTCGAACTTTTTTATCTTTACCTGGATGAATTAAGGCAATTCTTCCAATTTTCCATTGGTTTAGAGGCAATTGTTCGTTTTTGATCAGAACTAAATCACCACATTTTAGGTTTGGAGACGCACGAAACCACTTAGCACGTTGTTGAAGTGTTGTTAAATATTCTGCACACCATCGTTTCCAAAAATTTTGCACAGTCTGTTGAACTAGAGACCAACGTTTAAGTCGTGAAGATTTCACATCACTCAAGTCAGATTCCGGAATGGCAAGCAAAGGGGCTCCAATCAGAAAATGACCTGGAGTCAATGCACTAAAGTCGTTTGGATCACTAGACATCGCACAAAGAGGACGGGAATTCATACACGCTTCCACTTGTGTAAGCACTGTTAAAAATTCCTCGTAAGTTAGAAGTGTGGATCCTAATACTCGTTTAAGATGAAATTTCATGGATTTCACATTAGATTCCCACAAGCCACCGTAGTGAGGAGATGTCGGAGGATTAAATAACCAAGTTATACCTTCTGAGGTAATGTAGTCACATAATTCACTGCTTTTCTCAATGCGTGCTGCATTTTTATAAATCTCCTTCAGTTCCTTACTAGCACCTTTGAAGTTAGTAGCACAGTCACTCGAAATTTTAGATGGTTTGCCTCGTCAGGTGATAAATCTTTTTAGAGCTGCTAAAAACGTTGAAGTTGATAGATCACTGACTAACTCCAAGTGTACAGCTTTTATTGAGAAACACACAAAAATGGATACGAAACACTTGAAAGTTTTTGTTCTTCTCCCAACTTGAGACTTAATAGAATATGGACCAGCATAATCAACACCGGTGACTGCAAAAGGTCTTGATGGTTGAACTCTGGGCGAGGGTAAATCACCCATTATCTGGGTCACAGTCTTGCCTCGATTTCTAATACAAGGAATATAACTATGAATAATCTTTCTCACTACGCTTCTCACCGCAAGAATCCAAAACTGCATTCGTAAACTGCTTATTAATAACTCTTGACTAGCATGCAAATAATTGACATGGTAATGAGTTACGTTGAGATTAGTGACATATCCTTCCTTTGGAAGCAAAATAGGATGTTTGCTATTTTCAGGAATGTTTGCATTTTTTAAACGACCACCTACTCGAATGACGCCTTCTTCATCAAGGAAGGGAGTTAATTGTATTACTCGGCTGCTCACACCTTTTAATTCTCTCGATGTTTTTAAATAAGAAAGCTCTTGAGGAAAATATGATTCTTGGACATTTTTATCACTGTTTTAGTAGCTAATCGAAGCTCATCGGTTGTCAGAAAACCTCTCAAACGATTTTCGGAGATGTTTCGACAGTGATAAATAAATCTTAGGCATAATGCAACTATACGACGTAATTTTGTCCAAGATGAATACCGTTTAAAAATGTCATTTTCCTTTACCGCACAAGATACTGAAATGCAAGTTTTTCTTTCTTCTCTACGAACTCCTTCATAATCTACATCAGGAAGATGTTCACTGTCAGGACATGGTTCGTAATCTTGTGAATATAACCAAGTAGGTCCAATGAACCATCACTCACACTTCAGAAATTCTGCTGGAAACATTCCTCTTGTACCTGAATCAGCTGGGTTCCGCTTTCCATTGATATGGTTCCACCTTACATTAGGAATTGTGTTCTGTATTTTAGCAATGCGGTTTGCAACAAAGGGAACCCAACGATATGGTTCTGCAGAAATCCAGGACAGTACAACAGTTGAATCTGTCCAGGCCAAAACTTTACGTATAGGAAACTCTAAATGTTCTAACACTGATTTAAGCAAATTCACTAACGAAAACTGCGGCGCATAACTCTAATCGAGGTAATGATTGCACTTTCAGAGGGGCAACTCTTGTTTTTGATGCTAAGAGTGTTACTTTGATGTCCAAATTACGTGACACTGAGCGCAAATAAATTGCTGCACAGTAGCCTTTCTCGGAGGCATCACAAAAAGCACAGATATCAATATAGTTCAGGTCAGGAATCAAAACAAATCTCGGTATTTTAATTGTTGAATAAGATGTAAATCATTTCGGAAAATCTTCCATTTGTTAGCAAACTCTCATCACTAACAGGTTCATCCCACGATAAATGGAGTTTCCACATGTCTTGTATCAAGATTTTGACATAAATAATACAAGGAGCAAGCCAACCCAATGGGTCAAATATTTTCGCTAAATCAGAAAGGATATCTCTTTTAGAGTATTTAAACTTTTCACCAGAAATGGAATACGGAAAAGTTAAAGTAGTCTTCACGGGGGTTCCAATTAATTCCTAAAACTTTGATTGAGCTATCGTCTTGAATTTTCATAGCCTCAGAATCATTTCTCAACTCCTGGGGTATATTCTCTAACACTGACAAGTCATTGGATGACCATTTATGCAGAAAAAACCGTCCACGTTCTAACATTTGCAAGAGTTGATTTACTAGATTTTTGCACTCTTCAGTGTTTTGAGCACCTACCAAATAATCATCTACAAAAAGGTTTTGAAGTACAACCTTCGAAGCTAAAGGATAGTTATTCTGCTCATCGTTGGTATAAAGGAAAGTTGGTATAAAGCACGAGTAGCCAAATATGGAGCCGAGGCAGTGGCCTATGTGACAGTATTAAGTCGAAATTCTTGAATAGGATCAGTTGTACTGTCCCGCCAAAATATCCTTTGAAAGTTTCTATCCTCTTCATTAACTAGAATTTGTCTAAACATTTTCATGATATCAGCTGTGACAACTTCTGGGTAACATCTGAATTTGACCAAAACTGGAAACAGCTCTTGTTGTATTCTGGGACCTGTCATCAATATGTCGTTAAGAGATAGTCCTGATGAAGACTTACTAGTAGCATTAAATACCACACGTATTTTACTCGTAGAGCTAGATTCCTTAATTACTGCATGATGTGGCATGTAGTATGCCTGACTTGGGGACGCTGAACTACGGACTGGTTCCATGTGCCCGAGATCCAAGTATTCCTTCATGAAATGTTTATACATATCATATGTATCAGGAGATCTTAAGAGATTTCTCTCTAAAGATTTTGTAAAGAAAGATCTTTAGATTTAACCCAGCCTTGAAGGGTTATCTTTAAATGGAAGTTTCACTACATAACGACCATTTTGATCACGGAAGTTTGTTGTTTTAAAGAACTCTTCACATTTTTTATCTTCACTTGAAATACGTTTGACTTCCGGAATGGAGTATAAAGACCAAAATCTTTCAACTAATTCGTCTGTATTCAACTGAAGATTATTCACTGTAAAAGTGTTAGTTAGATTCGAATCATCAGTAATAGTGTTCCCGGAAATGATCCAACCCAACTGAGAACAAATTGCAAAGGGCATTGATTCTCCTCTCTTTATGATGTCTCCCTTAAGCATAGTAAAAAATACATTTACACCTAACAAAATATCTATAGGTTTTCTTTCATAGAACTTAGGATCAGCTAAGACTAGATCGTCAAAATGATTCGCAATTTTAGAAGGAAGCGACACGTTAGGCACATCTGAAGTTATCCTTGGAATCACGAATGCATATGTTCGAAATTTGGAATTTGACTCAAAGTGCGGGGTAAAAATTAATTCCACTTCTCCACTTGTTACAGTGTTGAACGAACCAAGGCACGATACTTCAATTTTTTTGTTAAATCTACCTATCTTTAGTTTACTGACACACTCTTCACTAATAAAGCTGGCTTCACTGCCACAGTCTAGTAAAGCCCTGCAAGGGATGGCTTTACCATTGGAATCACTAACTTTAATGAGAACAGTACACAGTAATACACGTTTTGATTCACCTTTAGAATAACTAAATTGTCCTGTACATGTTGTGACATTTGTAACGACTTCATTCTTTGGTAAGAACACTTCGGCTCTGGGGGAGAGTGAGGACGTTTTTTTTTTTTTTTTTTTTTTTTTTTTTTTTTTTTTTGGTTTCTCATTTTCACTTGTTTTGATATTTCGATCAAAATGAAGAACAGTATGATGAATTAACTTACAAGTCATACATTTATGTAAACTACGACAGTTTTTCACTAAATGAGGCTGAGAAGATAAACAATTAAAACAAAGTTTGTGTTTCTTAACAAATTCGATTCTTTTTGGACACTTAAGTTTAAAAACTTACCACATTTGTGAAGAGAATGATCTTCCTTGCACATTATACAACTGTTTTTACTCGACACTAAAGAAGTTACTTTAGAATTAGAAAATTTCCTAAAATCTTTAGATTGGTTTCTACTATTCTGCAAGGGTTCTAGCGTGGTCTTTTAGAAACTCGAGTAAATTATCTAAAGTACCTAATTCATCTTTTTTCAAAGTTCTTTCCCACCAAAAATTTTATGTTTTTATCTAATTTCTCAGTTATCAGATAAACAAAAAAAAGAACATCAGAAAGATCAGAAACTTCTAGCTTAAGAGTTTCAAAGAGCGTATACATTCATTCACTACATCAACACAATGTAAAAAGCTTGAGCTGAATCAGAAACATTTGGCAAATTAAAACATTTTACGGATTAATGCATTAGTTAATTCTCTTTTATTAGAATAACGTTCCTGTAAAAGTTGCAACGCTATATCATAATTAGCATCAGAAATAGGAATTGACTCAATAATAGACAGAGCCTTTTTTTTACAAGAAGCTTTTAAATATTGAAACTTCTGACATTTAGAAATATTCGGATTGTTATCTACACTAGCCTTAAAAAGATCATAGAAAACTAATCCACTCATCTATATTTTCCCTGTAAAGGTAGAAAGTTCTAATTTTGGTAATCGAACGTCAGACGAATTTACTTTTGCTACACTACTTGTTTCGATAACAGAGTCACTGGAAAGTTTCTGTAACTTTTATTTATAGTTATCCATAATTCATCTAAAGTTTCTTGTATGTTTGTTGTTCCGTAATGAATGTATCACAATCTTTTTCAGGACACAACAAAAAAATATTCCTCATAAATAGAACGAAGCTCACTGTTAAAAGCATTTAGTTTCGTTTCGAAACAACTTTACCTCTAAAATTTCTGCTTGTTCTAATTTCGAATTTACCTTGCCTTTAAACATTGTTATATTGCTTTTTAGAACCTTCTTTTTAGTTAAAACTGGTTTTCAAATCAGCCATTATGAATAACAATAAATATTATACTAACAACTCTAGCAAAAGAAGATGAAATTTTTGGAACGTACTCACCCCAATGTTGAGGTTTCTACGCTACACCATGCCACGGGAATATTCCACAATCGAAACTGATTTCACCACAGATGCCCACACGCATAATCCACAAATCGAATCGAAAGTACACTAAGCTGATTATTAATCCACAAAATCGAAAGTGATTTAACTTGCTAATATCTGAATAAATCACATCATATCCAAAGCTCGCTAACTCTTCTATCCAGTCGCTACGGACCAGGAATGTTAAGAATAAATTCACAAAAAAGGTAAGCGGACTGTAATATTTTATTTTACATAAAACTTTCAAATAGAAGGAATGCCGTCTACGACGACACAACACACTTCACTCTTAGCACTGTAGCAATTTAAAAAAACAAAAAAGAATAGAATACAAATCACATAAGTTATGAGTTGAAAGTTCGTTACCATAGCAACCAGAATTGAGTCATCAGGAAGCAACGCCATCTAATGTTGCAAAAACACACTAGTAATTCGTTTGGTAACAAAAATTACTAAACAATATTCAAACCTGAAAAGAAAAATATATAAGTTATTTCATCAATAAATGCCACAAGTTTGTTTATATCTTTATTATTTTATGAGTTATTAAACATGAAAATGGGTTCGGGACTTTATAAACACCCTGTTTATCTTCTATCGTTGAACTAAGATTAAATTTATTTTCATGAATAATGAAGAGATGATGTTCTTTACTTCCAACGCTGTGCTGAATTTCGTGTCTAGGCTCCAGATTTTGAAAACATTGCCTATAATTTTCATGCATGAATTATAAGCAACGTTTTCAAAATTGTAGGATTTTATTTCGGACGACGTGACGTGAAACTTGCTTGAACTTTTTTTTTTCTTTTGCCGTCTCCGATAAAAATGAATACATTTTAGAACGCAAACTCGCAAATCCATTCACTAGTTTCGATGAGAATTCATCTTTCATGCATTTTAACATTCCTAATTTGCAATATAGTCTTAATTTTAACATAATTCCCATATTTTCAGGTCATATACCTGACTTTATTTAATTTTAGATAAAAATTTTAACTTCTTTTCTACTTTCAACGTTTGATTTTCCCATAATATTCTGAATTTTAACTAATTTGCTATATTTCTACACTATATACATGCCTTTCATTTAACCTTTTACTTACTTTCATGTATTTTAACTTTCTTAATATCATACATGCTCTCAATATTAACTTAATTCCTATATTTTCTGACCATATGTATGAACTTTATTTAATTTTAGATGTAAATTTTAATTTGTATCGCACATTTTAACCTCCTCAATTTTTAAAGAACTCTAATTTTTAACTTTTTTATTATATTTTTACATCATACACTTGAATTTTCATTAATTTTAGATGTAATTTTTACTCTTTTTTCTTCTTTTTTAGTTTCCAACATACTCTATATTTTAACTCATATTTTTACAATTTTTGATCGTAATCACGCTTTTGATTTTACTTATTTTACGATTTCAATTAAACTTACATATTTAAATTTCTTAAACTTACAGATAGTTTTTAATTAAGTATTTTATTTTATAAACGTTAACTACTATTCATATCCAATTCGTTGAATAGCCCTTACTTAATTTATATTTTATAGTACTATTTTAATTTGCTTAATTCTACAATTTATCATTCTGCAGTATTCTTATCATGATTGATTCTACTATTTTACTTCATTTTTAACTTCATCCGAATTTACTGAGAAATAAATTAATTGCTTTAAGAAAAATTCATTTCGGAATCATATTTTACTCCTCTGAAACATTTGATTAAAACACTCTTCACCATAATAACAACCAGATACTACATTATTGCTTTTAATAACATGAAAATTGTTTCCAGCACCTCTACAAGTAATTATACTAGAAATACTAATAAATTCCTCTACAGGAAGAAGATTAAATTCATATTATAACTATAGACTATAACGGTACTAAAATTAACATTACAATGGTACTAAAACCAATTCCGATTTATTGCTGGTCACTTCTGACTTGAAAGCCATTTGTGACCGACGGAATTTTAATGATCCAGCTCGGGACATCGCCAAATTGTCGTGGAATTCCCTTTTGAAACTTCTCAAAATAGTAAACCAGTAGCTAGAATTTCCTGGAAATTTAAAAAGGCCCCTTGGGAAGACTGTGAATTTCTTTTAGACAGGGAATTAGATTCCAGGTCTTTAGACTTGACCAAAATATCGACAGACTATATGAGATAATTCGGCAGAAAATCATCTCATGTGCGAAGAAAACCTTTTCAAGGGGCAGAGTCACAAGATACAAATGTTCTGGTCAACTAATTTAATGGATCTAAAGAAGAAGCGAAATAGATTCAGACGTCGTGTAGAACTGAGGAACATTTAGGAAATTCATTTCAAACCTTGACTTTCATAGTAACGGAAAAAGAGCTTTCAGTGCCAGAGGATACTCTAGGGTAATTATTTAAAAATTAAAACTTAGAGCAAAGTTAGAGTTCTCAACAGATATCAGTTTGTCCATTTTCAACGCTCCCATTAGCTGAGTTTACTCAAGAGCCTTAAAATACGCAAGTCTCCAGCTGAGGACAACGTATTCTCTATGCATTTAGGCCTTATAGCTTTCAAATCGATTTTTTTGTTCTTCAACAAAATTTGAACTGCGGGATGTCTTCTTTCCCTTTGGTGCAAATCTACAGTTATCCCGATTTACGACAACGGTAAAGACACAGGGAATTTCCACAGTTATACGCCGATCTCCCTGACAATTAACTTCTGTAAGGTTTTTGGAAAAAATCATTTTTAGCATATTAAATTGGTTTTGGGAGACAATAGACATTCTCGAAGAAGTGCAAAATTGATTCCGAAGATTCAGATCCACCTATCATCAAGTTGCCCACCTTAGTAAGTCTATCAAAGACGGTCTTGTCAATAGACACATTTTATCTGCCTTCTTCGTCGATTTCAAGTCGGTTTATGATTCGGTATGGAGAGAAAATCTTCTCCTAAAGCTACCGGACATGGGTGTATATTCAAATATGTTGAAGTGGTACCTTTGTTTTCTTAATAAGGGCATATTACCCTGTTGCCTCATCGAAGCGAAAACATTTTCTATCTGCCTTTACCTGAGTCAGAATGTCTTAAAAGCAGAGGACTGTGATGAAATCCTAAGATCTGTGACATCTTAATCATTACATTAGTCTTCAATAGCGTATCATAGTTGGACATTTAACCATAATTTTGACTTTGGGTCTGCAAAAATTATCCAAAAGGCTTCTTCCATAAGTGAACTGAATTTTCTTGAGGCTTTTCATATTCACAAAGATTTAGCATGTTTAGTTAATGACTTTAAGTCCAAACCAGTCGTTCCTAATGCTTTTAAAATTCTCTTATCTTAATTCGGTTACTATTTTTGCCGATAGATGGCGTTACCTCCTCGCGTTTGGTACTACCAGAGGGTATAAAAGTCCGTTCAGTGGTTGCTTTCCATTATTCGAAGTTCAGATTTTGAGCATGAAGTGCAGTTGCCCCTCGCTCCCTATTTTTAACTTCGCTAATTTTCTTGTTCCTATGAGTTACATGTTTGATCAGATTGCCTGGCTCAGTAAAAGTAGGCGGCCAGTGTAACTCTGATTAAAAATTAGGTTATAACCACGTGCAGTGCTGATAAGGACCACGTGTTTCTGAGACTCCTCCCCCTTTATTTTTCTTCTTTCTAGGTATTTCTTTCTCCTGATGAGGAAGGACCTTTAGCTGCCCTCGAAATCGATTGAGTGTTTCAATATACTTACGCTAAATACAAGGTTGTTCTTACGATTTTGATAATCATAACCTTGTTTCACGTTGGCTCAGGGTCTATACAGACAGTTCTAGGATAGAAAATTGTGTCAATGCAGGAGCCGGTGTTTCTTGCGAGCTCTTTTCATTTTACTCAGCTGTTGGTGCTCACAGGTCGGGTTTCGACGGAGAAATCTCTTCTATTCGATTGGTCCTTCTTCAACTACAAAAGCGATTGGAAAGTTTTTCTTAAGTGGTGGTTTTCTCGTACTCAAAAGCAGCTCTTCAGGCCACAGAACCTGCTGGCCCATCCCGTACGAAAGACGACTGTAGCAGTCTTTTTACATGTTTATCAGATTGTAATAAAACATTTGTCTTGCAGTGGAACCCAACCCGCTGCGGATTCGATGGGAACGTGGCAAAAAATAGGGCTTCTGTTTTACAGTTAAATAGCTAAAAATGGCCTACCAATCTATTAAGACAATAATTAAAAGGACACTAATGAGTTCCTTTGCTCGGGATGTTGTCGCTAGAAGTGATCAAAAGTAGCCCTGTTTCAATAATATTCAACATATTCCTGAGTGGCCTCGTGATAAATCGGTGGCACTGTTATGGCTATTTTCTGGCCACGATTGTCTCCGAAAACACCGTCATACAATTAACTTAGTTCCGGATACTGTTTGTCCCTTGTGCGACTCTGGAAAGGATTTTGGCATTTCTCTCATTGCCTCCTTTTCTGATTTATCTCGTATGTCCTTATAGGAGCGATATTGGATTGCCAGACTTAAGTTGACGGATTAACCGATGTCTTTCTATCTTTATATTCATTCTTTCTGTGTTCATTTCTTTTTGTTTTAAATGTACCTGTTGCCCTGTGTACTTGATACTAGAAATTTAAAAAAAAAAAAACTTTACACACTATTTGCAAAGATAAAGACACTCCATATGATAACATAAGGTAGTATCACCCTTATATTTTTAAAAATTGAGATCAATTTCAGTTATGCGATTTATCTGTAGAGCTTTCAAATACAGATATATTTCTGATGGAAACTGCCCAACATATTGCTCTTTTACTTCTAAATCATTTAAATAAACCCAACCAATTAATGAAATAGTCGAACTTTCAACAAAACTTAGTGCATTTATACAGTTATTTAATTTATAAAATACGATATATTGAAAACAATGAGAGTAGAAACATCACTATTTCACAATTTAGAAAGAGATTTTTAATAATCAGAGTGAAAATATACTGAACTTCATGCAAGATTTTTATTGTTTCATACCAAATATTTCACAAAAAAAAATAATTCTCTGGGATATATATAATACAATGTTGAAATTATTTATCAATAAAAAAGAATGATTTTTTAATGTCGGAAGTTTTTATTTTCAAATAAAAAAAAACAAATAATAAAAATAATAATAATAAACAAAATAAATAAAATTAATAACACAAATAAAAACAAATAAAATAAATTTCAAATAATTTTCAGTTTTAATTTATTTTTATTTTCAAATTATTTTCCGTTAGAGAATTTTCAAAAAGTGATAAAAAGCTTAAAATACTATTATTATCCAATTCTTTGTTTATTAGCTCGAGCTTTTTATCATTGCATTTACTTATATTTTATCTCTAAAAGTTAACAAATTAACACTTTGTCCTTGTAATCCAAAATTTAATTAATTTAACTTTCCAAATCCTATATCATCTAAATATGCTAAAGGCGCCAACAATAATTCACTAAATAAACATTTTTCAATTTAAATTTCGAATCACAGAAAAAATTTGAATTTCTGATTGAAGTTTAAAAAGTCAATTTAACATTTTGCCTCTGGATAACTACCTTACTTTGGAATTTAACAAAAGCGTTTCATGTTCACTACCCACCTCTTGGCATAAAATCGTAAATATTCTCGAATTAAAAACTCAGCTTTTAATGAAATTAACAATTTCCACAGCTTGATTGAAAACGATTTTCAGGTTTTCAGGGATTGTTTTCGCCACTAAAGCTTCACGAAGAGTAGTGAGTAAATTTAGTTTCAGGTGTGAATTTCTTTATTTAAGAAATAACATCGGAATGTTATCCTGTTAAAGCCCGTGGTCCGTCACTGCATATGGCAATCCACTTATTCCCGGGAATATCATTCTCAGGCATTAAATTGTCAATTACTTTGAAAATTTTACTTGCAGTTGCTCTATCATGAAGAGATTTACAAAATAAATACGCTTCGGCAATTCGTTTACCTTCTTCGAAATGTATATAAAATAATAATTGAATAAATTTCCTTGTGTCAGTACTTTCATCCAATTGCAACGCAAAATATTCACTGTGTTCTATTTTTTTTTTTTTTTTTTTTTTTTTAATTAATGTCTTTTTTTATGGACTTGCCATTTTCCCATTTTATGCCATTTCATGAATTTGTCAACTTACTGTATCATTTAATAACAGGATATTATTAACTTCATTAGCCGATTTTTGGTTGAATAATGTTAAAAAACATTATCTATCTTAAACTGCTGGTAATATAAGGTTTTCTCCAAAGGTGTGAGCCTGCCTAGTCTTAACAATTCTTAGGCTTACTAGGTAACTGGCTTCAAAAGTTTTCTCGCTTAAAGTAACAAAATCTTTCATTACTTGTTTACTACTTTTGAACTCCGATAATTTCTTCTTAAAATTTTCCTCATATTTATCCTTTAAATAGGCATGCTTAGATTCAAGATGTCGTTTAAGAAACGACGGTTTTATACTTTGATTAGATAATAGTTCACCGCAAACAACTCATTGAGGTTGAGAGTCCATTTCAAATAAACTCAGACGACAACTAACTCATTATATCTTCTACTACAAATAGTTTTTCTTTTCTTTTCAATATTCTTAGTGCTAGTAAGTTTCCGTTTAGTCATTTCCGCTTAGTCAATCCTCGCCATTTTTCCATTTTGAAAATCTAGGTTCCTTTTATTATTTTTTCTCAAATATTTAAATGCACAATATATTACGATTTCTCCAATAACAAACAACGATGTTCTCAAATCACGTCGAAAAGTAAGGAATACAAAGCAACAAGGAATGTGTTAGAAATCCGGTGGTAGTTTGAAGACTATTATGCGCTGCATGTAATTGTAATATACGTTCTAAATTATCTTTTTGAAACATAAAAGTGTTTTAAGTTTTTTGAAAAAACAAAATACGGCATTAGAAGTTTTAGAATTGTATCAGTTACAATTATATTAAATACATTAATTATTACCGGTAAAACGTACAGAGTAATATTAAAAATTATGTGTACTTTAAATTATATAAAATTAGATATAAAAAATTTTAAATTACTAAGAACCGCTTTTATTGGCTTTAAATTGCTGACTTTACTGAGCAATTATAATTTGGAAGATAAAAGTCTTATGTCACTTAAAATAGCCAATGTTGTGAAATCTGCCTAACTGACGATAGCGTGAAAAATTTTAGTATCGGAGTGACAACACTTATCAAGCCAAGTGGATCATAAAGATATAATAGAGAAACACAATCTAACCTAACCTAACGGCTCAGAATGTTTGGAAAACTTCCGCTTAATATGCTCTTAATGTTAAAGTTCTCTTTTCTGAATCCCGTACATGGAAATGATACCTTAAAGACTGCGCCAAAATTAGTGCTAATGGTAATTCTATATTCAAGATGAACATGAGCCAAAAACAAATTGCTTCAGTGCATGAAACTTTTTGTAGTTACTAAACAAATTTTATTATTTTCGATGCTTGTTCTAAAAATCATAGATTGCAGGTGTTCCTGCCAGATGAAAAAAATTGACCTTTACTAGATACGATGAAATCTCTTTGCATAACTTTTATGATCGAGGTCACAAGGACCGATGAATAAAATTACATTCAGATCACTTTCTGACTATAAGTATACACTGAATTAACAAGTGTAATTTTTTTTTTCATTCTAAGCTACCTGTAACATCCTTCAATATTTTCCCTAAAGGTGATTAAGGTATCTTGAAACACGTGATACAGGTAAGCAAAAATTGTCACCAGATTCAAAAAAGGTTAAAATCCTTGCAGTGATTCAAGTTTTAATGCGAAGTGCGTGAACTAAGAAGTATCAGTAAACATATTTATTGTTTCCTTTGTTCTTTCTTGGGGAACTGCATTAGAAATTCTCAAGGCCATTTCAAAATCAGCACGCGCATGATGTTTCTATTGTATACATCCACTTAGCTCGTGCAAATCCTTTCCGACTCATGCATACTTAATTTCCCTAATCCTATAACAAACTAACAACAAAAAATTTAATTAGCAGTTTTTAGAAATCGCAGCTTAAACAGTTTTGAACTCAACGGCCCTTAATAACTCGGTCACTACTATAGCTATCGTCACCAAACTTTCTACAGTTCTGAGT